CTTCCGATCATTTGGAGAGGAGGATGACATGAAACAGCCCTGAATTATTCACTGTGTTTGCATTAGTGTCCAGCATAAAAACACTAAGAGGAAATGTGCTTACTTTCCGCTTTTGGTTTATATATCTTTGCCTCTGTTTGCCTGGGAAATCCCCCAGTAAAAACTCCAGCAGTTTTCTTAACGGAAATAAGTTTATCACACTTTGCAATTTTTAGTGGGAAACTGGCATTTTTTCCTGCTTTGTGGGCATTGATTCATAATTTACTTAGTTTTAACTTGTTAATAAAATGAGATGAGTCACTGTCAGAAGTCAGGAAAGGTCCACCACATCTATTCAGTTAGCATCAGGTTCTTTGATTCCTAAATCATCGTAAAATAAAACAAAAGCAAGTTCTGTCAGTTTGACAAGGTTCCATTTTTATTTTGAAGTCCTATCTGAATGACACATTTCAGTGATTTAAACAGTATCATACCGCATCACCTAATGTTGGTTTAAACTTATTATGGGAAGTGGTGTTTTACTACGTCATATTGAATAAGCCAGTAGTACTTTAAAACAGTGGCTTCTCATAAGAGGAACCCAGTGTCTTAGGAAATGTTAATTTATTGGGTTTCATAGTATGTGTTTTAGACCAGAGAAAAACAAGAATATTAATAGGAGTCCCTTTTCGAGATGGAAAAATACTGCAATCTCAATAATAAGTCAGCTGGATTAGTGTCATGCATCTTGTCTGCATGCCAGCTGCCTCTCTCCATACTGAAGAAGGCCACAAACATGGTGTGCTCTGTAGTACAGGTGGTAGAGCTTAAGGAGACTTGTGGATTCACCGCAGTGGAGTGACTTGTAAAGGGCTTCCTATGAGCTCCACCCTGAGCCAGAGAAGATTGAAAGTAAGGAAAGGATGTGGTCTCCTTGGGTTGTATATAGTCTAGTACAGGACTCGACAGCAGAGAATGTTAGGGACCGTTGTTTTTGAAGAAGTGGTCAAAATACCTTAATCAATTAAGGAATACCAATCCCTTGAGTCTGTATCAAGTCCTGGGAAGCCTTACTGTTTTTAATTCATATCAGATGTGAAAATTGCTAGAATTCTAGGTACTTTGATATATGTGCACTTTTTCTGTACCTTTGAGTGACCAGGTCTGGTCTTCACCAATGTCATTTTTTAATTCAGCCTTTAAAACATTATGTAGCTTTCCTGGATGCTAAGGGGTCAAAGATAGCAAGTGTTTTCTAT